ACCACCCCCAACCTAAGCTACATATATGCCTCCACTCCACATGTTCCACGGAGAGATTGCTGACCCCAGGGGGAGATGCCGTGCCCCAGGAGATTGGGGGTGTCTCTCCCCACATTCTCAAAATAAAGGTCATTTATATTTCATACTTCTTATCTTTTTAGACACCTGCCGGTCCCCCACAGTTCTATCATTTGGTTCCCTGACCGGGAACGGCAGACAAGAGATTCCTGGGGCCTTCCCAGTTTGAGTCCCCTGCCGTTCAGGATCAGGACTGGACTACATCCTGCATTAATTCCTCACTTCTACACTCAGGAACTGTAAACTTGTCGCTGCTCACTCACAAACAACACCGACCCAATTTACCACAGGTGAGCAACCCCCAGAGATTGCCGCTGGGCCAGGCCCCAGGTGGGTTTTCTCCCCCTTTCCGTGGGTTTGAGTGATACTCTCATGTCCTTTGATAGCCCAAGGCAGAGTTTTCCTGGGCCAGCCTGTGTCCACACTGAAAAACTCTCATGTCCTTCAGAGCTTTTTAAGTTCTCATAGGCAGTGCTGTTACTAAAACCCATGAGAAATCCACTCATATATACTGGTGATGGCCAATTATTACGAGCTTTGGAACCATATAATAATGATCGGTCTAAAATAAGTAAAAAGTGATGACTTACACTTAGTAGACCATGGTCCATTGACTCATCAGGCCATAACTCCATGGGCCAGACCCCACACCAGATTTTATCTTGGGGACCACTTCCTGTCCCCCCCCCAAAACCATACCTATTTATAGCTTATCACACTGACAAGTTTACAAAACTCTCTATCTCTAAGCCTTTGTTTTGAGAATGTGTGTCTTTTCCCGCCAGCATCCCTTTGTTTCCTCGCTGCTTTCCCTCTCCCCAGCTGTGCGCCAACCCATTCCCTGCTGAGATGGCAGGGGACCCAAACAGTGTTGAGAGATACGCGCAGGCTGCTTTAAGCTCAATGTGTGCTCCAGCCCAAACAGATACTGCTGCTTTAAGCTTTCACGCTGCGCCCCAACTCTGCACAGTATCTCAGCTCTCGTGCTGTGCTCCTGGTCCGCGTGGGTTGGCTCTAACACCACACCCTAATCCGCGTGCCCCACAAGCAGTTCCAGCTCCACGTGGCAGCTGAGCTCCGCATGGGGCCGCCTCCCAGCTCTGCCCCCCGGGTGCCACGTGCCCGCCACCGCCACCACTGCCGCCTTGCATGCGTTTCCGGGGGCAGTCCCAGCCCGCCCTGCGCACTACATCCTGGCGCTTGCCCTGCATTCACTCTGCGTGTGCCACCCCCACCCTGGGCATGCCCCACCCAGCCTCAGAGTTCCATCCTGCCTTAGGCACTGCGCGTCTCCAAACAAGCGTCTCCCAAACACAAGTGCCACTTTAAACACAAACACAGATAAACAACAGCTCGGCAGCTCAGCTCATAGCTGCTATTTTTTACATTCTCAAACCATTTAATCAAGGTTAAATAAGTCGGCAATAGACAAGACTTTGGATAAACGGGAAAGTGGCCACCTGGTAATTTTACCAGCCTTGTTTATCAATTAAAGCCTTCAGTAATCTCCTGTTTAACAACTAAAATTAAGAGATATTTATAAATTCCTTTTACTATAAACCACCAATAATGTTCTGTGTTAAGCTTACTGCCTATATTATACTGTATTGTTACTGATATCCTGTTTAACAACTAAAATTAAAAAGTAATTATAAATTCCTTTTTCTGGGAACCACTAACTCTTTTCCAAGACAAGGGTGGTATGATATATACAAAACAACAAGACCAACACTGCAGCAGAAGCCAAACTTAAACCTTTCCCAGCCTATCTGCCTGCCCTGGCTCAGCCCTCCACCGAGCCATAATTAACTATATTCAACTGATATTAAATAACACCATAGCTGATTTCTCTCCTAAATAAAAAGGTCAAAAAATTAATAAAACAGGCCATCCTCCAAAATCAGATGGTATTGGACATTTTAATAACATAAAGAGATTCTTATATATGACATAAATACCCTGTTGATTATATTTGAATCCTGCATACTTAATTCTACAGATAACTTCAACAGTAGTCCAGATCCCAAACAAAAAGGCAAAACTTGACCTTCAAACATCATAGAGACCTTAATATGGCTTTTCATATTTTCAACAACAGAGATAACAGTGACACTTGGAGTTCTGAGACAGGTAAACTGACACAAAGTGGAGCTGCCTGCCCCCCACCCCCATGGACCATGCCTCAAATGCAGCAAAAGACACTGGGCAAGACAGTGCCCCATCCTGGCGTTCCTTTGAGAACTTACCTCAGGGCTACTGGACTGTCCTAGCCACCAGAGAGTGAGTAAGCCATCCTAACTTCCAGCCCTCACAGGAAATGCCAACACTGCCAGATTCATTGCTGACAGATCTGCTTAAACTTGCTGCTGAAGACTGATGGGGCTCAGGGCCAACAGCAGCCCCCTTTATGGGTGTCCTTCTCAGAGTCCAAGTCCCACTAAAAGTCTTACATAAGACATTCTCTATACTTGTGGACATAGAGGCCATATGCACAGAGTTCTTCCTGAGTTTTCAGGCCGCTATAATAAGTACTTGATCTCTAGGAGGTATTAATGGCCAACCTATGCCATTTACAAACAGGCCCTATTTTGTGCAGGTCCCACACTGCTTCTTTCCAATCTACCCAGTGGTGCCAAATCTTCCCTCCACCACTCCCTCTACAGTCCTAAATCTTAAAAATGCTTTTTTTTTTTTTTTTTGTCTTTTTCCTTTTTATCGGTACAAGGGATCAAACTCATGACTGCCTGCTTGCAAGGGAGACATTTATGCTGCTGAGATAAATCCCCAGCCCCTTAAAAATGCTTTTTATTCCCTTGTGTTTATACAGGCTGACCCAGACACTGAGGTCTCAACAGCTTACACCTGTGATTGCTAATAAACCTCTCCTCAGTGATATAAGACTGCCCCCTTCCTTTCTTATTCACCAATTTCTCAGACAACCCTCGTCAAGACTGTCTTTTCAATTTGTTTACACTTTTTCAGGATACATAAAAGCCTTTTACACAACCAGGGAGATTGCTTATATACTTGCTAAAGTTCTGTTACAGCAAATCATTCCAAAGACTACAACCAGGTTACAGTGACCCATACTTAATATTCTTGGCAACCTCAACAATGATCAGAGTTGCTAGACTGCCATCCTGGTTTCACATCACTCAGGCTAAGTGGTGCCCTTCTGGCCCTAGATCTAACCATCCTTTTGCTTACTCATCTCCATTTCACCAGGCCTCACAACCACAAGTCTCAGGCTGTCATGTTTTGTTATCCAATTTGGTTTCTAATTTCTTATTCTTTTTACAGCAGGACTCTTTTTTTTTAAATTTTATTTAAGAGGAAAAAGAGAAAAACACAAAACAAAACAAAGCAGTGTAAGGGTACACGTAATACAGAACTACAAAAAAAAATAACAGTAGGAAATCACCTGTTAATAGATTACATATTATCATCTTGAAAATAGTTGCTCAAATCACAGTATCAAAGAATACAAAGTGGACATTCAAACAGGGAGACTGCAAACAGCTGTGTTCAATGGTCCAAAAACATTGATATAGTCAGCTATTTAACACCCCTAAACACACTTGCTGTTATATCCGTTAGAGCTCTTTTTTTTTTTTCCCCTTTCTTTTTTACAACAAAATTTACACATTTTGGATTTTATTACTCCTTAGTTCTTATTACTTTTTTGGGGAGGAGAGAATACAGTCAAATATGGCAAAACAAAGCTGTCAGTCAAAACCAAGGATAGACATAGCACATGGTGTAGAACAGAGTACAAGGTTATCAACGTTGTCTCTTGTTTCCTTAAAAAGAATTGTCTATCTCATTAGATATTATAAAGTTGGACAAAACAGTAGAGAACAAGACCAATAAAACTTAGGCATTGTAAACATTACAGGACTTCCAAAGGAGACAACAGTCAAACCAGAATGGGCATCTTAGTGAATCTTATTGCCTTCAAAGTAGTTGCCTATACCCTCAAACTTGATACTATCATACAGAATGGAACAGTCTAAGCAGGACTCTTAACATCATGCATACCAGAGACAAGCCTTACCTACCTACCATCTTAACTTTTACCCTTTCAGATGGGGGAGTAATCACCTCTCATAACTTCACTCCTCCTAACCCCACATTTATTTTTCAGAATTCTACCTCTCTGTGGCAATAATTCTACCTCAACATGGTCCTGATATAATGACATGTCTAAATCAAAGGCACCTTCCCTCACCTGGGTAAGGCACCTTACCTCACCTGGGTCCTTAAATATGATAGTGCCATAACATTTTGTCTCTTTGTTTTTCCAGTCTAACATATGTGCATTCACCCGTGAAGTTGTCCTGGCTAAAACACCTGGTACCAGCTTCTACCTGGGCATCAACCGTCATCCCATCAACTCCCCTAGACCCCAGTACTGCGCCCCCTTACAGCAGGAAGCAGCAAAGAAAGAAATCTTTGTCCCTTTTCATAATAATAATCATAAGACAGGATATGAAAGAGTTTTGGCCCAGACAGGACATTGTAGCTGGTAAAGCCTCAGGCAGAACCAAGGAGCTCCTATCCCCCCCACCCCTAGGAATTTACGTGTGACTCTATCTTTCCCACCCCTAGGAATCTACCTCTGGCGGCAAAAGAATACCAATGGGCTACCTGTGCATCCCTAATACCCCTCAGGCACCACCCCCAACCTAAGCTACATATATGCCTCCACTCCCTGTGTTCCACGGAGAGATCGATGACCCCAGGGGGAGATGCCAGACCCCAGGGGGAGATGCTGCACCCCAGGGGGTCAGGAGTATCTCTCCCTGCATTCTCAACATAAAGGTCATTTATATTTCATATTTCTTATCTTTTCAGCTGCCCGCCAGTCCCCCACAGTTCTATCATTGCTAATATTCTTGTCATTACCTAGTCATTAGGTTTACCTTGGTCTGGAGTCATTCTCATTTATATCCAAACTGCGCTCTCGAGGTTTAAAAAATTCTTTGTCTGCAACCAGTTCCTTTGGTTTAAGTACAGCTTGAGATTTTAGCCTGTAAAAATAAATTTAGAGAATTTCTAATCCCAAGAAGCGTGACAGGCTTATGTAATTCTTGGGTCACGATTGTTCAGATAAGATACCCAGGAATTATTTGCAGATTAAAACTCAATCTGTCAAAACTGAATGGGTGGGTTGGGGGTGTAGCTCAATGATAGAGTACATACTTAGCATGAGCGAGGCCCTGGGTTCAATTCCCCTGCACCAAAAATACGATTTTTAAAAAGTAAAACCTGAATTCACACATATAGTACACAACTGACTTAAAGGACTTAAAATTTATTTATTTATGGGAAAGTAGGGGAAAGAATGAGTTGGTAAGAATACAATTTAAAAAATTAAAATGATTGATGTTTTAAAGCACTGTAAGTCTTTTCTTCAGGAATTTAAATCTTCCCTCTAGTTACTGCTAAGCAAGCAGTGAATTTTGGTCATCAGGCTCTAAGAGGGAATTCTAGTAATTCTTCAGTATATTTGACTCTGTCTAACATACACTACATGGGAGGTCTCCGCCTATACTGACATTTTAAATAGGTGTGGATAAACTCACTGATAAGCACATTTTCTCTGGGACACATAAAAAAAAGAATTGAAAGACAATCTCTCTATCAGTGTTAACTTAGACCCATACTTATGTGTATAGAAAAAAGGAAGGTTGTTGAAGAAACCTCTTCTACCAGGAGTGTGTGTCAATTCTTGATATAAAATGTGACATCCACTACCCATTTCCACTGTTTAAAAAAAATTCCCTGGTTACATGTACAAGTACATTCTTTATGAAATCAAGCCATGAAGAGGTAAATCACTGATAAGACAGTGCTGTCATTTTCAAAATGTCTTTCAAAAGCCATTCTAACTGTAACTATGCACTGTGATATACAGAGATGCACAGGAAACGATCAAACTATATGGCGAATATTTAAATTTTTAAACTTTACAACAAAAGACACATTGCCATTAATTCCCTCAAAACATTCCCCCTTACTTCAAACACATTTGCTCCACTGACTGTCTCATCAGGTGGCTTGTACCATTGATGGTAGAAGTGGTACAGTCATGCATAGAACAGTCATGCATGTATCACTTTCTCAGCAGCAAGACAGAATTGTGGTCTTGTCATGAATGTGATAACTCTTCTGAGAAGATACCCAGAAGACATATAGCTAGATCAAGTGGAATTTCTACTTTTACTTTGTTGTGAAATCTCCAAATGGTTGTACTAGTCTACATTCCTATCAATAATGTAAAAGGGTTTCTTTTGCCTTGTACTTTCATCAGCATTTATTCTTTTAGTGCTTGATGATAGCCATTCATACAGAAATATGATGAAATCTTGGTGCTGTTTTCATTTGCATTTCCCTAATGGTCAAAAACTCTGGACATTTTTTTATGTACTTATGGCCACTTGTAATTGAGAAGGGTCTATTCATTTCAGTTGATCCATTTTTTACTGGATCTTTTGTTTTTCTGAGGGTCTAATAGTTTGAGTTTTGTATATCCTACATTTTGGTACTCTATCACAGGAATAACTGGCAAAAATTATTTCCCACTCTGTAGATTGTCTTTTCACTGTTGTTTCCTTTAATGTATAGAAGCTTTTTAATTTGATAAAATTCCATTTGTAGATTCTTGAAATTACTTCTTTTGTAACTGGGGTTCTGTTCAGAAAGTTCTTGTACTAAATGACTTTAAGTGTTTGACCTATTTTCAAGAAGATTTACTGTTTTTCTTTCTATATCTTGTACTTCCATTCATTTTGATTTGATATTTAAAAAGGTGAGAAATATAGCTCTGTATGAATTATTCTGCTGCCATAACTATTTTTTTTCTAGTACCATTTGTCAAAAAGGCCGTCTTTCCTCTAGCACTTCTTTTTAGCCCTGCTGACAAAGAACAGATGGCTAACAGTTCATTGGGCTATTTCTGTGTCTCCTGTTCTATTGTTTTACATGTATATTTTTTGTGCCAGTTTCATGCTAAATCCAGAGATGTAATCTTTTTTGCCTTCTCTTTTTGTTCAGAATTGCTTTGGATATTGTGGGTTTCTTCTGGTTCCATATAAATTTTAGGAACTTTTTTTTTGTTTTGTTAAAGATTCTGTTGGTATTCTGATTGGAACTGCATTAAATCTACATACCACTTTATGTAATATAGCTATTTGGACAATAAGATAGAGGGGGTGTGTTTCCATGTTATGTTTTCAATATTTTTCTTTAGAGTAGTATAGTTTTCACAACCTTTTACCTTTTTGGTTCCTCAGTATTTAATATTTTTTTCTCAGAGCTACCATGAATGGGATTATTTTCCTAATTTCTTTGTACTGATTTTTGTGTGTTGAATTTGTATCCATTTGCTGAATTTATTAATTCTAAGAGTTTTCTGGGTTTTTGGGGGGAGGTCTTTTATATAAAGCATCATGTCATCTGCAAATAAACACAGCCTGACTTCTTCCTTTTCTATTTGTATCTATTTTATTTCTTTCTTGACTGACTGCTCTGGCTAAAGTTTCATGCACAGGAGTGCTGAAAGTGAACTTCCTTTTTTGCTGTTGGTTGTAGAAAGGATGCTTTGTTTTTCTCCATTCACTATGATGTTGGCTGTGAGTTTATCACATATTGGCTTTATCACTTTGAGTTAACGTCTTTCTACATGGTATAATAAAAAATAAGGTGAATATTTATATGTTAAAAACTGATTATAGTAAAAATAAAGACACTGGCATAAATCCACATCAAAATATTCACTCACTTCGAATACACTTATTCCACATGGATGTTTTCTGAATCATTGCCACTTTCTGAGACATTGCCACTTTGTGAATCAGTTTTGGAACTTATTTTTCTTGAGTGTGTTCAGTTGTGTTATCATGGCTGCTTCATTATGACCTGATTCAAGATGTTTATTTTTATTTTAAGGAAGAACCTAAGTGGCAGGGTGCTAGTTCTGGTGAATAAGATGGATGCTGTTTTTATTTGACAGAAATTCCTATGAATATTTGATCAACAAAAGGTGCCTAAAACTATAATTCTTGCAAACAAAATGTAACAAGTCATTAAAAATACAGAGTTAAAGGTATACTAATGCAATGATATATGCATACTCATGTTTAAGCACAATTCATATCAGCTACATCTTGGAAGCAAGCTATATGTCCATTAACAGATGAGCAGATAAAGAAAAATGTGATATTCATTTACAGTAGAGTCCTATAACACTATAAAAGAGATAAATTTGGGTCATCTGTAGGAAAGAGGATGTACCTTGAAACGGTAATGTTAAGTAAAAAAAATTAGACACACAAGCTTAAGTATGGCATGGTTTGCCTTATGTGAGAAGCCCAAAGTATAAAAGAAGAGTAAAATAAAAGACAGATAATAAGGAAGTAGGAGATAGATCTTTCTCAAGTGGGAAGAGAATCAAGAGATGGGGTGGAAGGGAAGTGAAAAAAAGAATTAAAAATGTGTTATATGCACATATTCCACATAAGGAAGATAAACATTATGTATTGTAAACATACTAATAAAAAAATCATATATCATGAAGAATGATCACATTGAGATATTTATAAATAAATGGATGCAGCTTGATACCATACTCATAAGTGAAATAAATCAAACTCACATGTATAAATACTAAATAGTTTCCCTAGTGTAAGAAATGGTAAGAATACATAAAAGTATGTGGTAATTATGATTCCCCATTATATTTCTTTGAAGCCTTATAATGTTTTCATTCATTATTTGGAATGGTTTTATTCTGAGTTGTTTGATGTTATTGTTTGTGATGATATGAACAGCTATTCTGAAGAAAACAAGACATTATAATGGCTAGTGCTGATTTAATATCATCTTGTTTTGAAGTCCCACCAAGCTTTTGTTCTTCTGTCTCCATTGGTTTTAATATGTTGTATCTTATTGGATTTTATTAGATGTGATAGTATAAACAAAATTTTTATGGACAAGGAGATAATATAGTAACCATTGTTCGTTTTCTGTTAGTTGGTTCTGAATACCCTGTAATACTTTCTCTTAAATGGTTTTATACTGTCTTGTTATGTTTGATTAGATAGTGTATGAAGGTATACTCAAATATTTCTTTTTTTTTTTTGTCTTTTTCCTTTTTATCGGTACCAGGGATTGAACTCATGACTGTCTGCTTTCAAGGCAAGCGCTTATGCCGCTGAGCTAAATCCCCAGCCCCGATACTCAAATATTTCAAGGAAAGAGACACTATGGTAGCTACTGTTATGTCAGGTTGTCTTGTAGTAAAATACTATGTTGCTTAAATTGTTCTCTTCTGATCTTTTTGTTATGTCCTCTTTTATTTTAATCTATTTTTAAAATTTAAAAAATCATATATCATAAACAAACCAGCTTAATATCTGGGATACAAGGATGTTACAACATATGTAAATAAGTATATACAGTAGATCATCTAGTTAGAAAGATAAAGATCACATGATCATATCAACAGGTACAGAAAAAACGGACAAAATCCAACACCCATTATGATTATGATTAAAACCATGATAAAAATAGATATGCAGACTGAAAACTTTGCTGAATGTTTAAATTTAAAAAATATTCATTATAATAAAAGATACAATACCATGGACTACGGGATAACTAAGCTTGATTCATTGACACTCTGTATTGTTCTTCAGTTTCAACTTCACGATTTCCATTCTAATCTTTTTAATGTCTTTCCTTCTACAAGTTTTGGACTTGGATTGCTCTTGCTTTTCTAAGGCCATCAGATGTATCATTAGAATTTTTATTTAGTAATGCTTTATTTTTCTAATATAGGCACTCATAGTTACAAACCTCTTAAGTCACTTGCTTGCTGCTGAGACATAATACTTGATAATTACAACTTGAAGGGTGAGAGATTTATTTTGTTTCACGGATTTAGAAGTTTCATTTCATGGTTGGCAGACTCCAAGCCCAAAATAGTATGGTGGAAGTGCTTGCGGAAGAACAAAACTGCCATGTCATG